TGAGCTTTTCAAAAACACGAGAATTGTGACGTTCAAAAGCCAACTGACGTTTGCGTTTTTCGCTGCCGTCAAACATCTTAGCGGACCTCCTAGGAAACAGAGGTTTGTAATTTGTGATTGGTGAATTTTGATTCGTTTTGTGTGTTTCTCTGTTTCAAGGTTCGTTGCTTGTGATCGTAATTATGATTGACGGCAGCGAAAAACGCATTTGTGACGGCGGCTTCTGAAATTTAATAGTTCGCGTACTTTTGAAAAGCATAGTAACACATACACATCCTAACCAGCGTCTCCTGACTGATTATTCATACATTCTTATATCCACATGGTACGGGAACTAAGGTTCTTTTTAAAGGTTGTGAAAGCTATTTTAACACAGGGGGAACATATATTTAGGAGGAAATTAAATGACCCTTTGAAGGTTATTGTCTAGTATACAATATTATGCTTGGAGTTTGCGTTTACTTAAGACCTTTCTTCACCAAGCGAATATTTTTCTTATGCGTGAAAAAACGCGATGGTATAGACATTGTTCAACTGTCCAATTGGAAAAGAGATGAGTTGTTTTCTATTGACAGGCTTAACTGCAAAGCTCTCTCTTGCATTTATTCCACTGTAGGGTGCCCGAGGCCCCATAGGTGCTCCTGGTTTACCCGGCAGTGCTGGAAAACAGGTTGGTTCAGTAATTCATGACTGCGTCTTTAATGATTCCCAACAGACTTCTTGTGCTATTAGAAAGGGTTACAAAAACTGGGCAGATATTGCACCTTATGATTGCGATTGCTGTTGAAAGAATAATAAAGTGATACAGCAAAAACCTTTTATGTTGAGAGAATAGGCTTAAGATTATTTCGTTTAAAAAGGCAAACTAACTAGTTCAACTAGTAAAACATCATAGAGTGACTCTTTCATGTGATAGTTACACCACGTAATTACCAAGCAGCGAGGATTAAAACAGTCGGTTAGTGCGCGGACTTCTGTGTGGAAGGTTTACATTCCTATTCCCTGGTGTGACCTCCTTGTCTTGACATCTTCATCCTTTCCGTGTAGCTTTTAGTAGCTTTAACGAAATACCTATAAGACAGAGCACTGAAGGAGAGAGGGGGTAAAATAGACGTACCATCGGCCTCAGGTTTGTTACTAGTCCTGAGTGAGTACTGGTACGAGTTACTGATGTAAAACAAGGACCCTTACCTTTTGAACCGAAGGAGATCGAATACGAGTGCGACTTTGGAATTACGAGCTTATTTATCCTACCAACTGTGGTACTTTCCTGTCGCTGACTGATCTAAGCATCATGAGGTTGCATGAGGTACGCAAATTAATATCAAATCGTACTGAATCGGTCTTGTTCTCGAGGACGAGGACAACTACTAGAACGAGTTTTGGCCTAAGGTCGTATCGCGTCTTCTTTAAAAAAAGACACCCACGACGCTTCATTAAAATTGTCGTTGTATTTTTTTTTTCATCAGAAAATTTAGCCCGATTATTCTTATCAAAGGAGGTTAAGCCCTCTCCCGATTGCAAAATGATGAAACTTCAAACAGTTGATAACTTTTTTCCGCCAATCCTAAAACTCGTAGTAGAATGACGACGGCTACCAAGTTTTCCCCCATCGAGGAGGGTGTTATCCGTCGAGGCTGACGCTGGTTCACGCGCAAGCACTACAGCCTGTACTTTGTAGTCGTCCTCGTCTTAGAATGTAAAGTCTCTACCACTGACTCCGACAGACGAGATTTAATTATTAAGTATAATCTAAACTTGCTTACTTCACTTGTCTTTGTTGTTTTTAGGGTGAAGCAGGAGAACAAGGAAAAGACGGACAACCTGGTGCAGTGGTGTCAGACAAAATTTTAAACAACAGCAACGTTTTATTTGCCCCGATTTCGGTTAAAATTGTTGGTGCGACCAAAAGACTTTTTTCTTTGAACAACAACAACGTTATTTATTTGCCAAACATGCGAACTCTTTTTGCCCAATACATTTTTCGCTTCAATCATAATTAGATTCGGAACGAACCACAAAAAAAACGGATCGGGGCAGTAATCACTAATCACAAACCTTGACGGAACCCGTTAAATCCTTGTTTCCAGATAAGATGATTGACGAACTAAAAACATTGGCTTTTGAACTTGAGATTCCGTTTTTATTCGATTCGAAAAACGCCGCCCTCGATTAAACGCCGTAGATGAAGGCAAAATTATCAATAAAAGCCGCCCTCGAATAAACGCCGCACCTAATTAAAAGAATGCGGCGTCTATTCGGGGATACTGATAAAAAAAACTCGGTACAACTTGGTAATATACACCATTCAGACAACTACGATACTATCCCAGCAAAATAACAGAGACATTGGAACCTTTAAAGTACATAATATTCAACAAACGATTTACAGTAACTGTTGTCAGTGATTTAAGAAAAGTGATTTCGAAACAAAGCCGCCCTCGAATAAACGCCGCCCTTATATAAACGCCGCATCGGAAACGCTAAAAATTTAATAAACGACGCGGGGCTTAATCGAATAAATACCTATCAAAATAGATGAAAGTTCAAGTTTCACTCAATCTACATTGGCCTATCTCCAGCGCCGCCCGTTCTCTCAACCTAAAACTCTTTCCAACTGCCACCTCCAAACTTGACCGCGGTCAAACGAAGGAAATTTGTTACTGCGCTTTTCAAACCACGCGAACTCTGAAGTTCAAAAGCCGCCTTCACAATTACGTTTTTCGCTGCCGTCAATCATTATTACGATCACGAGCAACGAACCTTGAAACACAGAAACACACAGAACGGATGGAAATCCACCAATCACAAACCATGACCTTTTGAGCTCGTTGAAGAAAACTTCTGTTTCCTAAGAGGTCCGCTCTTATTGACGGCAGCGAAAAAGCAAACGTCAGTTGGCTTTTGAACTTCAGAATCTCGCGTGTTTATGAAAAGCGCAGTAAAACTGAGGAAAGTACTTCGAAACAATGGCTAGCGCTGTCGGTTTCTGTTTGACAATTTATCAATTTGCTAAATAAGATTGTTGCAACTTTGCTAAAACTTTTTTCAGGGTTTAAAACCCGAACTATGCACTTGTCTGCGCCATTTATCAAAATAACTTTGTTTGAGCTCGAAGCATATCATTTTAAGTAAATGTAGCCCACTATTTTGACAAAAACCAAAACATCGACATATTTACCCCCGTCGGACGCCTAAACCCATATACCAGCTTCTTTCACCAATCCAACTCCTGTTTCCTCTCATTGTGTTATTCGGCTTACAAGTATATTTTTGCAGGGTGAACGTGGACCTGTTGGTGAAATTGGACTTCCAGGAGAACCGGTAAAATTATTGTAAAATACTTTTGACTTCATCTTCCTTATTTTGTAAACATCTTCCAAATTTGGTCCCCGCTAGCTGGTTATGAAGAATTAGCCCGGTGGGATTTGAGCCAATCAGAAACAGAGAAATATTGTGAATGAGTAATAATGTATTTTCCCACGCCCTAGTGAGATTCCCGAGCATCCTATACCGACTTTTGATAAGCACAAAGAGCATAAATTGAGATTCAGTATAATACAAAAATCTCGTTGACAAGCCCATGATACTATAGACACAGATGGGTGTTTGATGACTCAGGGGTAAGACAGCCTATGGACTTTATCATTTATTTATGAGTAATGCCTTAAGAAAACGTTCAGTGGGATAAGACTATGAAAGTTTATTCCCGACCTTGGAAAGAATCAAGGTTTATAGAACGATTCTTATCTAGAGAGCCCAGTTGTTCGAAGGCCAATTAGTGGAATGTTTCAGGGCGTGAAATTCTTCTTTTGCCTTCTAATGTCGTTTTTAGGGTCCTGTTGGAACTGCTGGTCAAGAAGGGGCACAAGGAGTTGATGGACTACCCGTATGTTTTTATTTTTACCCTTATTCTGATTGTATGATTAATTAGCTCATCGCAAGATATTTTACAATTTATGCGCATTCCCTCGATCGAGTTAGCGCATGCTTGTTGCAGTTCTAATGCTTAGAATTTGGCAACCCGGTCGACTATGAAAACCTGGCCGTGATCTGGGACCACCCAAAACCTGGCCCCTTTTTTCCAGTTTAATGATCCTGATCTGGGACCACGGCGAATTTTTTGATACAACTTACTTTGACCCGATGACCCGCACAGGTTGTCGAACGTCACTGTCACGGTCCTGACTATTCCTGGTCGAACTCAATGCTCTCACTGTTTTAAAGAAAAATTTTTTTCAAATGTGTGGTAAATGTGTTAATGGTGCTGTAGAAATAGAATAAAGGCCCCAGACGCTTGTAATTGTTATTTTTTGCATTCTGGACTTTTTTTTCTTCATGTTAATGTTTTTTTTTTTTTTTTTTTTTTTTTTTTATTTTATTTTAGGGAGGCAAAGGACCTGAGGGTAAACGAGGAGAAACTGGGAGGCCAGGACAACCAGTAGGTGTTCAACTTACTTTGAAATCATAGAGTATTTTGTTGTAATTATAAGATATAATATATCAGTAAAAAATAGGGCCATTGATACGAGTACGAATAAGATGCATCTTACATAAGGCGCTTCCTAAATAAGGCGCAAACTGTCCCGTATAAACTGCACATTTCATCTGAAATACGACCCGACTTAGCAAAGGCAGTCTTTTCTAAGTACAATTAGCGTCATTTTTTATAAGAAATGTACTGTTAACACGGTACCGGTTTGCGTCTTGCTTAGAACGCATCTTATGGAAAACGCGTCCTACTTTTCCTTGTATAAATGGCCCTAATAAATGCGTGACTGGATTATTTCATTTTGGTAGGGTTACCCCGGGCTTACTGGTAAACCTGGTGTTAGTGGCACAAAAGGACAACAGGTGAGTAATACTAGTTATTCAGTCTATCTGAGGTCTCTCTCCTTTTCAGAGGCTTCCTGTGTCGCTGGTGGAAGGTAGACTGTGCCACGCTCTTCGATAATAGGAACGTCGTGATCTGGAGAAGGGGGTGCCTTCTTCCTCCCAAGCTCCTACTCGGTTTTCACAAGCGAACTATCTTGGAGTCTGCAACAGACTAGGGGGGAGGAGAGAGAAAAGATTTACTGCCCAACGGGAGTTTCTGCTGAGAAGAGAGAGTGAGACTTCAGGTCAATTTCTTCTCTCGGGCAGCCGTTCTTTGTCTTTGTTTCCTCAAGTACCGCTTCTCGAGGACCCAAAGACCGGCTGGGTAGGAGATTAGAATAGAAATTCCACAAAGCGTCGCATGTGAATGGTGGCACTTTAAGAGAAGTCCAATACAATGCCATCACCGTACATAACATGCCACAAGTTATTCCACGAAGGTCAGGGTAACACGGATACTTTCTAAGATACTGTTGATAAGTGTTGAGCAAACAAACCACCTAAAACTTTTCTGCTTCACCGCGCAACTGTGATCACCACGTTATCATCGCTCCATGCAAGGGAATCCAATACAGTCTGGGATTACGGATCCCTCGCCGTGGATTCCGGATTTCAGGTGTTGGACTACAGTCTTTGTCAGTAGAACCGTATTCCTTAAGTTGTATTCCTGATGACCGGACTCCAAAGCCCAGTGTTTCGGATTTCACAAGCAAAATTTCCCCGGATTTCTGATTCCACAATAATCACGACTAGGCTTTGTCAGAAACTTTTTATAATAAGACAATTTAACTGGAGACCTACGTGAACGTTAATTAGCAACTAGAAACGCCCTTTTTCTCATGAACAAAATGAGTAAGAGACCATACTATTGCGATACACATGCGTTATTGACCAAATGTGAGTTTTGTTAGCATAATATTGGCCAAGTTCTTTTTTGTGTTTTCGTTTCGGTCAATAAAAACGCCAAAAAGAACGAGGTCAATATTCAGCCATCTTGACCAAAGAAGCTTGGTCAATAAAGGACTTATCATCTGGCCAAAAATTTTTACTTGCGGAACCAACGCGGGAAATCCCGACCGACCATCTTACCTGCTCGGGTGGCCAATCAGAATGCAGGATTCACTTCATCTTGCCTGTTAGTGGATTCAGCCATGTAATAAAACTCAGTATTGCTTTATCACAGGGAAACACCGGAAACCAAGGATTGCCTGGTGAAGACGGCAAGGACGGCCAGCCGGTAGGGTGATATACATAGGGGCTATGCGGAAGTGAATTTTAATTTTTCTTCCGGTTTTTTAGTGGTTTGATCTCCTTTTGGAATTCATATACGTTATTATTATCATTATCATTATCGTTACCGTTATCACGATCGTTATCGTTATCGTTAGCTATCACTATCGTTATCATTATCATTATTGTTATCTATATCGTTATCATTATCGTTATTATTATCAGTATCATTGTCACTATTGTTATCCTAGTTGTTATCAAAATCGATATCGTTATCGTTAGTTATCACTATCGCTATCATTGTAGTCATCGTTATCATTATCATTATCTATATCGTTATCATTATCGTTATTATTATCAGTATCATTGTCACTATTGTTATCGTTGTCGTTATCAAAATCGATATCGTTATCGTTAGTTATCACTATCGCTATCATTGTAGTCATCGTTATCGTTATCAATAACGTTATCGTTATCATTATCATTATCATTGTCACTATTGCTATCGTTGTCGTTATCGTTATCATTATCATTTTACTTATTCTGCAAGAATATTGCTTCTGAAAATCATTTGAAATTATTTGATCATCGATGGACGTTATGTTTCGGTGCGATGGATGAGATCTCCAACACAGGAAAAGGTTTGAACACCTTTTAAGGTGTTTATAACACTGTCTTATAATTCTACAAAAGCGGGATCAGCCTTAGATTCCCATAGAACAGAAAACCAGCCACCAATACACCAAAGGATAACGAAAGAAAATTGAATATTGCTTCTAAGTTTTTGATTATGTAATTAATTTCATTTTGGATTTGCCTCACAGTCACTTTCTCTCGCTATATCGTAGTGATACAACATATGATTAAGTTAATGTTAAAGAGACACAGTTTCCCTCATTAGATCCATCCCATGAAGACTTACACAGTCAATTTTGTATACTCAGTCTGTCACTTGTATGTCTTGTAGGGATCAGATGGTGCACCTGGTAGTTCGGGATCACCGGGCCTTCCAGGACCAAAGGTAAATTACTGTTACGAGGCTAAAACTCTCTTTTGTCCTGCTTTTAGATATTACGCATGCGCTACAGTGTTACGAACAGTTTTCACGGCGGAAGGTTGTTTGTAGTGAATTTGGGCAGTAAGATAGAACTGCTCGATAACGTTTATCTCGGTAATCTTTATTGGCTTCTATCATAAAATCCGTGAAAAAGCAACATAGTATATAGTTTTAAATTAATACCCTGAATACGGGCGTAAATAAAAATTTAATGTAAAACGCAAAAAGTTCTGAAAGCGAATTTTTATTGATTGATTGATTGATTGATTTTTAACGTGAATATTTATGGTTGTAGGGACAAGATGGAGCCACAGGAAATCCTGGACGTCGAGGAGCACGTGGATCGCAGGTAAGAAACCAAAGCAGTCGGAGCACATACGTTTGAAGTTTACTTCCGCAGTGTTTGCAAAGCCTCGCCAAATAACGATGTTGAAGAAGTTGGATAACTCTACGCGAAGGATAAAACACTATCCAGTCAATAAACGAGATTCCGGTGAATAGCGCTGTGCAACTTGTCAAAAATTGGGGCCAGAAAAATATTTTCGGCGATCCATTGAAAAGACAGTTCTTTGTCATGAAAGCTAATACATAATCAGGGGAACTGCCAATAAGGTCACAATTTTCGTGTTCCGCTTCCCAACAAATATCTGCAAGCTCTTCGGAATTTTTAACCTTCTGCTTATCAATGTCTTAGTGTCTTGTTTTTATTATTCATTTTCCTCAGTTTATTTTGACCTTTAATTCCTTATCATTTTTGGTAAGTCATACCATTTACCTCTCTTTCCTTTTTCTCTCCTTGCATTTTTCAGGGAGCCCGCGGTGCACCAGGTTCAGCCGGTACTCCGGGAATTAGTGGACAAATGGTACCTTTTATAAATAATGTTCATAACTGTCCAAAACGGTGCTTTCTAAATAGAGAACTATTGTCATGAACAGCAGTTTGAACTGAGCTTGGAGGACTGGCGCAAAGAATAATAATAAATTATTGCTGCAAGACAGAGTAACTGAAGCGTTGAGGAGTGAAATTAGATGGTGTCAATACCCGCTTGACTCACCGGGCTAGGGTCCTGTTGGCGTAGAACGCAACATAATATCTTACAAGACAATCTAATATTTTGTTCAAGAGATGGATAAGAAAACTAAAATTAAAAAATCATCGCGACAAAGTAAACTGGAGGTTGGTCTTGTGAAGTTTCCCTTTGTTAATGAAAAGATAAAACAGCCTGTGTGAGCAATTTACTGAAAAAAAATATGAAATAGGACGTTTAAAACGATGTTTATAAAATATAAAAAGATCATTTGCAACAACAGCATTGCATGGTCAAGCTCCTTCTTAAAACGGTTCAGGCTTCTGGTCGCAACAGGATGTTTTTCGATGTTTATATGGATTGCGCTTTGTTAGCTTAATTAACAAGTAGCTTATACGGGTTGTTTGTGTGGGTGGAATTACACTCGCTAAATTCAAGAGATCGACTCAAAGTTTTCACTGCTCCAGATTTTTGATCACCGTAATTGATGCATTGTGAAACACATATTCCATCTATTATACTACTACATGAGAAATTTCTGCAATCTGATTGGCTTAGAGCAGTGGTATTTCAGCTTAATTTGAAATACCTACATGTGAAAATTACAAACCTTTTGTGGGTAGTAGTATAAACAAATAATAGCATTATTTGTACGTGATATATATCATAAATACCACTCGTGATATTTCAAAATTGTCTCAAATTTCACTCGCCTAACGGCTCGTGAAATTACGTATAACAATTTCGAAATATCACTCGTGGTATTTATGCCAAATATCACTACAAATCATGCTATTACCTATACAAAGAAGTTCCCAAATCTATGTTTCTTGGAGATTCTTTCTCTGATTCTAAACTTGGTTTTGTTTTGTACTTTTTAGGGACCAACTGGACCGCGTGGGGCCGCTGGAGCTAAAGGAGAATCTGGAGAAAAAGTGTGTAGGCCACATTGCTCGATTTCCGAATATTTCTGGGAACTGATCATGCAAAAACGGCTAAATTTTTCCCACTTAAGTAAAATTGTTTCGAGAATTTCGGATGCAAAGCAAACGAATCGGCCAGTTTTAAGGAAAATTTTTGTTGGAGGTCGTGGAGCACGTTTCAGTTTGCAAGGTCTTTCTGTTCTGTAGTACGAAAAAGCCAAGGCAATCCTATCTATTTTGGACTTCTCTTAGTTCATAAAGGCCAAAAGAGAGAACTTGAATGGCGAGCAGTATGTTCATAAATTGCCGGCCTAAAAATGTTAGCAGAGTGAAATGCGGGGAAAAAGGACGACTTGAATATTCACTTATGAAGATTTTGAATGCTAAGTTATCATTCCCTGAATTAAAGGGGAGCAGAAATAATTGTTTTTTGGGGGAAAGCCTACTTTGTGTTATCTGTGTATTGGCGTACCATTACGGTCGAACAACCACCTCTCGGCTTGAGGGAACTTCTCAAAACGGAACCCCCAAAATGCGAACAGCAAGTAGATCTCCGGCAGAAGTTGCAGATTTTTGAATGAAAGAAACTCCCTTTCTTACGGACCTCTCGTTATTACGGATTTATAGGCACTTTTTCCGCCACAGCATCATAATTTTTTTGACCGATCTCTCACCGTAAATATTTCGTGCGCCTTGAACATATCCAGAGTGTTTCTTTGGATCTAAGATTCTTCTGCTGCGTGTCGATTTAAACTGTCTGAATGGAAATAAATACATTTACTCCTCTAATGCGGATCTTTAATCACATAACTGTTGACGGACCGTCCCTATCATGTGTCAACAGGGTATCAAAGGAGAAGCTGGAACTTTCGGAGACAAAGGACCGGCAGGCGGCTTGGTAAGAATGACATTCAGTCACTGCCTTGATTAACGGCTTAAGTTATTTATTAACAGGATTTTATTTGACACTCAAAACATAACAACCTAACGAAATAAAGACAATAATGGCATACAGCAGTAGTCTACTTACCATGTTATGTATATGACAAAGAGTTTTTTCATATGACGTCAGATTAGTCAGTGAAATAAACCAATCTTGCGGGAGTCGAGCTCTTATCCTTATGTAAACACTTTTCTTTGTTTCAATGCGTTATTATAGCTGCATGACGGGTAAGGCGCCATATAATAAAATCAGTCGTTCTTGTCTCTCCAATCAGGGTGATCAAGGGTTTCAAGGAGAAAAAGGAGATCCTGGATCACCAGGCTTTACAGTAAGTTCACGGCTTTGCTGGAGTAATTGTACTCTAATTATTGAATCTTTACTGACGTCACTGTACACATGTTTGCTATTAGCATACGACTAAACCAATAGAAGGCATCGCCCTATGCCCAAATTAAATTTAAAAGTTTAAAGAGTAGGCTAATTTGAGCAATATTTGCAATTTTCAGCTCTTTGCAAGTAATAACTAAGGAAATAGCAGCCATCGAAAAATGTGAAGTTTGGAGTTTTCGAAAGACAATTTCTCCGAATCAAAATAGTTGTTTTATCGGGTTCAAATTTTCACAGATAACTGGAATTGTCATGCTCGATCAATATTCAGAGAGTTTATTTTAATAGCTTGATCAGACAATGAAAAGCATACGTTAATGAGGCAAAGATTGTAAACAAAGATTCGCTTATATGAATATTGGATCAGTAACCCAACTTTAACGCTGACATGTTAACTTATAAGGCCCAATGTTGGGTTAAGTCAGGGGTGGGTGGACAGTTAATCAGAAACTTATATTGATCCGGATTATTTGATAGGGAAATAGAGGAAGTCCCGGAACAGCCGGACAACCTGGAGCCCGCGGTCCACCTGTAAGTACTGTATTAATGTTATCATATCCTTGCATTTGAGTAGGTGGACGTTTGGGACAGTTTACTTCATAAGTGAAAGTAATTTGGGATGAATCACTGAACTTTTATTTACGTAAGCCACTCTTTTGCGATTTCTGATATGGAGGTGCTGTGGCTTTATTTACCCCCGCGTTTCTTGAGAAAAGCAACCTCATTCCCCATGGCACTTCTAAATCCAGGGGCTCTTGAAGAGTTCATCCTACTATGGTGGCCCTCAGTGTAATGGACTAACATCTCATCCAAGAAAAAAAAGAGAGTAATACTCCTGAGATTTATTATTCATGCTACAGGGTCAAGGTCAACCGAGTATATCGTTACAGTGGTGTCATTAGTCTTGTACACATTTTCCTGGTGCTGTCTGGGTCTCGTGATCAGTAACAATTCATTCCCTACCGCACTTAAAATTTGCCATCTGATTTTATTTCCCATCTTTATTTTATCCTAGCAAGATATACGTCACTGACATAGGAGCCTTATAAATGTCTTTTCTCTCGCTTTCGTCTCTACAAGTATCTCCGTAGCTCATTTGGAGAGAGCGTTTATTCAGTTATCTTTGGAATCATATACCTAAGAAACGCTTCGAGTCATAATGTGATGCTACTACCTACCTCGTTAATACGAATGAACTCTCCTGGTCCAAAAAACGCGATGTTATTCATGTGTTTGGCGGTTGACTAGTTCAGTGATTTTTGATGTTGCTTTTTTTTAGGGCCCCACGGGATCAGAAGGAAGTGCTGGACAACCTGGCATTCCTGGTATTAAGGTGTGGCGCGTTTCTTTCAATGCCCACTCATTCATTTCTCCATCCATCCATCCATCCATCTATCCATCTATCCATCCATCCATCCATCCATCAAACAACCAACCGATCAATCCATCCATCAATCCATCCATCCATCCACCCATCTATCCATCCATCCCACTATCCATCCATTAGTCCATCCATCTATCCAACCATCCATCCATCCATCCACCTATCTATCCATCCATCCAACTATCCATCCATTAGTCCATCCATCTATCCATTCATCCATCCATCCATCCATCCATCTATCCATCTATTGGTCCATCTATCCATCCATCCATCCATCCATCCATCCATCTATCCAACCATCCATCCATCCATCCACCTATCTATCCATCCATCCAACTATCCATCCATTAGTCCATCCACCTATCCATTCATCCATCCATCCATCCATCCATCCATCTATCCATCTATTGGTCCATCTATCCATCCATCCATCCATCCATCCATCCATCTATCCAACCATCCATCCATCTATCCAACCATCCATCCATCCATCCATTTATCCATCCATTAGTCCATACATCCATCCAACCATCAATTCATCCATCCATCAATCCATCCATCCTCCATCCATCCATCCATCGATTAGTCCATCTATCCATCCATCCATCCATCCATTAGTCCATTTTTCCACACATCTATCCACTCCATTTAATCATTCATTCATTTAGGGAAGAGATAGTGAGTCCACACTGTGGTCTACAAGTTGTGATTAAACTTGGAGATGACCCTTTTGCTGCATTTCTTTAATTCCGTTAGTGTTAATTTGAAGAGGTAAAAGATTTGTCCCCTTTCAAACTGACTAAATTTGCAAAACGTGGTTTACATGCAATTTGATAATTTTCGATTGAGTTTTAAGTAGTACTATTAGAAGTAGTAGCAGTAGTGGATGTTATATTATAGCAAAATCAAATTTATGATTTTATCCCGACATTGAATAAATACGGTGGCGGATCTAGGGGAGGAACCTGAGTTCCCCCTTTGTTTTAGACCAAACTGAGACCAAAAGGGCCGAAAAAAAAATTTGGAGACCCGGCTCCCCTTATCTCAGGGTCTAGATGACCCCCCCGCCCCGCCCCCTCCCACCCACCCCTTATCTGTAGGTACGTCACTAAAATATGTACTCTTTTATGATATCTCTAGGGCAGGGCAGGAAGGGACGGCGAACCTGGAAACCCAGGAACTGAAGGAACTCCAGTAAGAAAGTATTCTCGTTAATGTAGAATTTTTAGGACGAAAAACATTTCACTTCCTCCTAAAAGAATTAGTCCAATGTGCCTGAGGCAGAATTGATAACAACCAGTCACGCTAAATCGAATCCGTCACGTTTCCATTTGAGGTTTAACCACCTGTAACACAGACAAGAACTGTTCATTTGTCTGGTCACGCTTTCCGTAACTTTCCGGAACCGTACTAAACATTCTGGAGCATATCTCACAGCGTCAAGCAGTAAAGGAGTCCAAAATTGTATATTTCTTTTGTTATGAATTACATAGAATTCTTATTAGCGTACTACACGGCTCCGTGTCAAGTGTTGGATTGGAAGTAAATAATTTAATCTTTCTATGAAAGCATGTTACAGTTACCCATATAATGACTTTTAACCCAGATTCTAAAATATGGATAAATAGGACAAATCATTCAGAAAACAAATCATATACGTTATATTATGTACTATCCCCCTGACAATATAACTGTGCTGACTGGAAGGTATTCTACTTTTAATTTATTTATTTTTCATTAGGGAAATCCTGGAGCCAAAGGACCTGTAGGACCAAAAGGAGAGGCTGGTCGCCGGGTAATAAATAATGATAAGAATTCACCTCATTTCAAGACAAAATAAACTTTAATTTTACATAACTAGATTTATCCGTCTTGCTAAAATTGTGTTCTTTGAGGGGTTGTAGTCATAAAAAAGGCATCGTTTTAGAAGCTAAATCTGTAACGAATTCGCACAAAAATAGTACTTTAATTGTTGTTGTATTTTTTCTTTTTAAAATTAAGTCCTTTGAGCGATGTTCTTTTCTTGGAATAAATGAAATAAATAATAATAATAATAATAATAAAGATGCCCTTTTCCCGTTTTTTTTTTCCGTTTAGCACTGTAGTACTGAACACATTAAAGACATTCGGTACCTCCAATACCGGTTCCATTTCATCGCCAGTACTTTCGAATTTATTTTAAGTAATCCATTGTCATTGCTGTTTCGTTCTTTGCAAGGAACGCATTCATTAAGGGGAACAGCCATTAATTACTCTTTTCAAAAAAGATTCTCTCAAACCTTTATATGACAATTTAAGGTTCGTACTGCATGATTGGAATGCCAAAATAGTCATTATAAATTTCTGTTTGGACATTTTGTTTATCATTTGTTTTAGGGTGCCCAGGGCTCTCAGGGCCGCACTGGACCCCCTGGTGCCATGGGTGAACAGGTAAGAACAATATTGTAAACATTACACTATTGCAATTTTTGCAAAATAGCAATCCTTAGCAATATTTTTATTTATTTTTTTTAAACATTATGTTGACCAAATAGGAGGCAGCGTCGCAAGAGTGGTCAGCAGGGCGCGACTCAGAGATTCCAGACTCGCGTTTTGCTCTGAGCAATGACTGACTATGTGCAAATTGATTTAGAATAAGCATGGGTGATCCAGTTCAACCTACCAAATTAATTAGCCAGCATTAAATACCAATACATTATTTTGGTGGAGTTATGTCATATGCCGGCCGTCTTACTGTCATTTGTCCAATCTGGGCCATAATTTCGTTGCTGTGTCAGTTTTTTAAAGTTGCTCGGTTATGAGTTATATTGACATATTTTCAAATTTTTATATTCCTAGGGCGACCAAGGTCCTTCAGGTTTAAATGGAGTCGACGGGTCGCCTGGCAAACGGGTAAGTACTTTCCAGGAAATAAAGATGCCGCTTGCGGCATACAAGTAGCTTTAAGATATGTAAGCCATGAGGAAAACTTTGAACAATTAAGTCGAATGGCAACAAGTTACGTTTGGTATATCGGGATATCCTACCTACGAATATAATTTGACGACAGGTGAAGCTAGCCTGCCTGAGCAACTAAGTATTCTTTCACCCTAAACAGATAATTTACAACTTTTTATGTTTCAAGGGATATCCTGGATCTTCTGGAAAGCCTGGTATAAATGGAGCTAAAGGACAACCTGTAAGTATTACTTCGATAAACAGTTGCGGATCTAGTGAAGGGGTTCCACTCATCTGTTGACCAAACCGAGGCCCACTCCTTGGAGATCCGCGACTGATAAAGAGAGATCGGTTGCACCGCTATAAATTGAATTGTATTTTTTTTTTTTTGGACCTGGGCCAATGTCGCTCAAGCTTGTAAAACAACGTTTTGGATCAAGTATCAGCTCATACTTACTCATATATTCCTTTTGTATTAAACAATGGACGGGCCAGCTACAACCATTAATGTTTCCTAACATATTTTCTCGGACAAATTTTAAAATGTCGTTTTCTCAAATAATATACCATCAATTTTTCGATAGCCCATTCAAACGTAGTGGTCCCAATTTTTAGTACTTACGATACAAATTTAGAGAAGCTGAGCATTACGATCCATCAAAAGCTTTGGTCAAAAAACGAACCGTAAACTTTTAAACCAGGTGTGGTTTAACTTTTTAAGTCCACATTTGATTCAAACTAATAATTACAAAGAAATGGTCTTCTTTACAGTAACGTAAACGCCCAATATCTCTTTGATTTCAATGGTCATATTTCGGATTTCAGTCACAAACTGTACACTGCTTTTTGTTTAATATACCAGGGAGTTGATGGTAGTGACGGAGAAGATGGCGATGCTGGAGATCCTGGAGAAGCGGTACAATAATACGACATTAAAACTCCTATTTTTTAGAGTAGATGTAAACTTTGGACTCATTAGGCTCTTACCCGCTCTCTTTATAGCAGCAAGTATGGCACAGTTGGTTTAGGTGCGGCCTTAGTTGCGCGATTGCTAAAAGCCGTTTCAGTTTTCAAAGTTACTTCAAGGTCCTCAAAGATTACTAGGAGATGACGGGCTTGTTGATCGAAATCAGTGTGACTGACCTTTGTGTCGATTCGATCGTTCAATTTGTTTGTTTGCCTGCCCTTTGTGTCGATCCCAGCTCTCTTGCAATTTGTTTGTTGTAAAACAAATTGGATATAATATATTTATGTCTTTTAATGTCAACAACTGACCTTTGGCTCCACAATCGGAAGAGATTTCCTCTGATAGCAACCGCGACGTTTCGACGGATCAACATTCGACACGAGCAGTCAAGAAGCGATGATTAGTGGGCGACCGAGAACATCTTAAGGGGCTTGAAACATGGGACGGATGGTTGATTTCTTCAAACAAGCACTGTTTTTGTTTTTATACATGTATACTTTTTACGACTTTAATACTTCTTTTCAAATCTTTCCATGAATTTTTTTGACACCACAGTACATTTTTCAGCAGCTATAAGCTTTTTTTAATAATCCCCTACCCCCCAGCCCACGTTAAGTTACAGTCATGTGTGTAAATGTATGCAAGCATAAATTTACATGCACTAAGGTGACAACAAAAAGAAATGGAGGGCATTTTACACCTCATGCCCTTAGTTGCGCATGAGTAATAATAGAATGTGACTTGACTTGCAACACTGAACTGATGTCTCTATAAAAGGTGTAATATGAATGTTTCTTTCATCCCAGGGTGAACAAGGAGAAAGAGGCTCTCCGGGAGCTGCTGGTTCTTCTGGGCCTGACGGACCCACTGGTCCCAGGGGAGATAAGGGTGAACCAGGACTACCTGGTGAAACTGTAAGCAATATTTATAACACTTTGTGAGTTGAATGCGAGTCTTTATTATTTAATAATGCCACTCATTAATATCTTGAAAGAGAAGAGCACACTGTACGAAAATATGTGGATGTCAAAAAAAGCAAAAACACTTACTTCAATCGTAACTCATTCGTTTGCTTGTGTTGAATTTACATGGGTGGTTCGTTTTCACGTACAACAATTAACTCTTGTCTAAACCTTTTTTGCAGCCAAGGAACGAAGAGCCACACGAATTTTTTTTATTTAACCATAACCTTGCATTTAATCTAGTCACATGGCGTCAATACCAGTCTTAGGACTCACTAGATATAACAACTTAACTTATTCTTTCAGGGTGATGCTGGTCTTAACGCTGCAGATGGAAAAAGAGGAGCTCAGGGACTACGAGTAAGTATTGCTTTATTCTTGAATAAAAGATAACAAGCCTCTTTTTCAGCCAGTCAGAAGCTAGTACAAGTACCAATCGTGATTTTCTCGCTTTTTTTCTGCAAGCCCACACGTTTTCGTGGCGTCGTAAACATTTATTATCGGCAGTTGATTAGAATTTGATTGGCCCATTTGAATTTTTGCACCTGTTGCAATTTGCAATAAGGTGATGACCATGGTTTTGCTTTGGCATTGTTACAATTATAAATTCAAGACCACTCTGGTCGTGACGGATTAAACACCCCGAATAAATTCTAAATCTTAGACTTCTAAGACCAATTTCCATTAATTTTTTCTCCCGTAGGGTTCTAAAGGAGAGCAAGGAGATGTTGGTGAGAACGGAACCAAAGGAGAAAAGGTAATCAACAAGCTCCTGAAAGAAACCCAGTTTCCTTATTTTTCTGAGTTCGACAGGTTAGTCCGCACCTAAGAAAGATGCGTCGAGGCGTACTTTGTTTGATACACAAGGGATTTAAACCATTCATCCAAAAAATAGCATATTCTTTTGAATCAGGGTTGAATTCTGGCGTTAAAGTGCGGGACAAAAATATTTCCGAAGGCATCTTTTCTTCTACATCAGGTAAAAAGCTCTTCTCACTCCCTTTCTCTGGGACCAAAAACATTTTTTAAAGGAGGAAGGAATACACTGACAAGGGTGACTTGAATTACGAACAAAGATTGCGTCTCTACTTAAATTAGGGTTTCTGCGAAGCAGGGTGAGGTTTGCAGAGTCAGCACAGAAACCAGGTGACTCAATGAAAAACTATCAGTTCAGACTACGGAAAGCGAAAACTGAATTCTGAACCGAGTTGTTGAGTCAGTCAGCCGCTCATAAAATTTAAATTGGCCCAAGCGAACTTTGGTTGGATTCCCTTGTTTGATCTTTGTGCGTAGTCTTACTATAATAACCCACAGCTTGTAATAGATCAAGTTAACTATTACCAGCTGACAAATGACGTTTTGGGACCATCTACAAAATTTAAAAAAAACCTGGCTGAAATAATAACCGAAAATTGAGTATTCGCGTAGACCTTTAACTTGGGCACAAAACAGGGAATTTTTTCAAGCTAATGGAGGTTTATAATTATCATGTTTACAGGGTGATTTTGGCTACTCTGGTAAACCTGGACAGTTTGGTCGTCCCGGTGCAGAGGTAAACAACTACTTTTTTCATGCTTCATAATAATTTTTCCCTAAGCAAACTCCCTTAAATAAAGGAACATGAGTGTGGGAAAATTTGGCGAAAATACAGGAGGAAAAACTATTTCCCACCCCCTTTTAACCGCATGCTCACGGCGAAAAAAAAAGTGAAAAAGAAATTTTTATGCTCAACACCTGTCACAACAATGGCTATGCTGATAATTATCCCTGTTATATGGCTGCGTGCACTGCCAGTTGTAAACAACATCGCTCTATAGCACTGGGGTGATTGCTCAAGAGCCTCGTTGATTATTTTCGGTTCAATTCCCGAGTTTTTAACAATATTTTATTTTATTTATTTTATTTTTTTATTTTATTTTTTATGGACGGCAATATTTCTTTTAGTAATAATAGTGTGGCAAATAGAAAACTGGGGTGTTTTGTTTTTATAACAGTGAGAAATTTCTCACATGCCTAATTTCCTGCAAAACTCCGCAATAAAATGACCCGTGTATACAAAGAAAGAGGGAAAAAGGACATCCGTGACCACCGCGCCACTTCCATCGTTATACTCTTATTGACAATAGCTCTCGACCAATGAGCGCGTGAAAATATCTAAAATTATTGTAAAAACGAAGTACTGAAGTGGGTTGAATAGTACTATTGACTAACTTATGGCTATATATACTCACAAACGCGTGCTGGAAAGTGAACATGTACACTTTTGAATTATCCCTGTAATTCCTAAATAGACTCCTTTTTACTTCTTTTTTTCAGGGTGTGGCAGGCGATGCTGGGCAAAATGGAACCGTTGGTCCACCAGGTCCGCAGGTTCGTCACATTTCATTTTGTTTCCACGAAGGATGCTGAGTTACTGTTGCTTTTAGCTGATATTCAGTTTAATTCATCAAAGCTATAAAAAGCAGGGAACTTCTACATGTCTGTTTTTATTAGTTATGTGTTTCTTTTAAAGGGCTCTAGTGGGGCACAGGGTCCGCCCGGCCCACAAGGTGATCCAGGACAGATGGTAAGTAATGTGTAGAATAATGGTGGAATTTCATTGCCCAATATACCTATAACTATGAATGGATATGTTGCAAAGTTGCTTCCCTTGTAGAAACGTTCTTTGCAGACTGAGTGCAAATGTTTTAGGCACTAAAGATATGCCTCTTCAGACCCAGCACTCGCTCTTCTTATTAGAATTTTCAGGATCTTTAAAGGAACTTGTGTTAGGTAGATATGTAGATGGTTTCAGGAAAATATTGCTGTTCCTTCAGTTAATTTTTTTTCTGTATCTGTGTAGGCATAGTCATGCAAAATGCAACCATTGTGTCCCATAGCTAAGTGGTTCCTTTGTAAGAAGCGGATACCCCATACTTACCGCTACGAGTACTGAAAATTTATCCGTTCCCGTAACTAGTCAAGAAACGGTGTAAACTCCCACTTAAACGTTCTTGGGGCTTCGTAATGCGTTCCATTCCTACTTTAGAACGTATATGTGGGAGGCTAGAAATGGTGTACTTGACGTCTCTAATTGTATTCGTCTCGGAAAAGGTTGGCTGCACTATTGTTTTGGGTGGTGCCATGTACTTTGTTTATCTTCAAGCAAAACATAATCCTTCATATTCTGCCTCATTTTTTGGAATTACAAGGAGATTAATTTGCAAGTGTTGACAACATATTAACAGTTACTGTTTTTACTACCACAGGGAACACCGGGACCCCAAGGAAATCCTGGCACCCCGGTAAGTTCATCAGTTTATCTACCATATGTTGTTAAGTAAAGACCCTAAGAAGTGATACGAAGGTTTTTTCGTAAAAGGGAGCAGGAACAAGTTGCTAAAAGAATCCTTAACTCCATTGGTCACAAATCCTGGACATCACTAGTGGGTAAAAAGTGATCGCAGGAGTTCAAATTGATCTACTTTTCAACTTCTTGTTGAGAAATTTTGGAATGTTTTTTTAGCGTGATTTATTGTTTAAAAAAAACCACAGGGTTCGCACAGGTCATAGAAAACCTGGAAAGATATGAAATTTAAGAATTGTATTTTCAGGGCCTGGAAAGTCATGGAAAATAAAAGTTATGTTCGGTAGATGTGAAAGCAAGGAGAATATAAATTAGAGATGTCGAGTAATTAAACAGTGCGAACAGCGCTTAGTTTAGTGGACACCAGAGTTCATGTCTGTTGAACTGAGTTAAGTCAAAAATTATCCAGAAACAAGAAAAGTTTGGAAAATTTTGTAGAATAACAGTTTGACCTTACGGGTCATCGATAACTTGGAAAGGTCATGGAAAAAGTCATGAAAACTCAAACGACTTTAAAGAGTTCAAAAAAGTTTGAAACCTGTGTAAATCCTCAAGTGCCACGTCTCCTTAATGACCTTTGTCTACCTGCCTGAAATTGACTTTTGTATGTTTCTTTCCCTGTTACTTTCCAGGGTGATCGTGGAACAACGGTAAGGTTCCTATTATCATCGTCATCAAGCAAAACATTACCATTTTTTCTTTTTCTGTTTTCGTTTGTATGTTTTTTTTTCAACTCAGTTGTCGTTATTTAGTTTAACCATTTTCTATTCTTTCGTTGCATACGAAAAGAAATAAAAATCAAATCAACTTTTGAGGCAGTTTACTAAATTTTGAAGTCATATCTATTGATTACCTATGATATTTTGTGCTAGTTGTGAGGTTCAGTCTCCTTCGATTTACTTAAAAATACATGACCAATATTGATAAAAAATAAAACTCCGATTAACTGAATAATTTAAAAATTTTTTCTTTTCGATTTTTCAGGGCACAGAAGGATTACAGGTGTGTTCTTGTTTCACTAACACAAAGTTCATTGGTAATAGGGGATAATGTAACTTTTTTCCTGTAAAAGAGATCAACAAATTTACTTGGGATTTCCCTGCCAGCAGAGGTCTCTCATGACGAGGCAAAAATGAGAGAAAGGAGAGAGACAGGTCTCTCTCCTTTCTCTCATTTTTGCCTCGTCGTGAGAGACCTCTGCTAGCAGGGAAACTTGGGATGTGCAAAAATAAAAAAACAAAGGCGAAAAAAAAAAAACCAACCAAATTTGTCTTTGAACTAGCAGCCTTTAGAGTTCGCTTACCTTTTAAACGGAGGTTCGCCCCAGTCCTTTGCAGCGAATTGGCCAGTAGTAGCTGAGAAATTGAGCTAAATTGAATATGCTGAAAGTCAATTGACAACTGAGACTGGAGCACCTATGCAGGCCCTCTTTACAGAAGGAAACGTTTTATTTGCTTGAATTTAAGCATTCCAGTCTGAAATTCGGTTACTATAGTCGTTGTTCGGTGGGCCAATATCTACTCTTGAAATAACTCTAAAGGAAGAGCAAGAACTTAAAGAAATAATGAAGCTTTACCGACCAAGAGAAACCACAGTGCTTATGAATATGGACCTTCCAGAACATCGCAGAGAAATGAATCCAACTGAGAAATTACAAAAATAATAAAAAATACATTTCGAAGTGCCCGGAAGTTACGGCACTAGAGGCCTTCTCTTGATTAAATACGGGAGGTTTCGCATTGATACGATTTGTTATTGGTTTAAAAAACCTCGCGTCGATTTTTTTCAGCCAGTCAATACTTTTCACACTCGTTAACCTGCGCCTACTGTCGGTTGCATGTAATCGCTGAGACATTATATTGCTTCATCAGTGCATTAGACTGAGTTATAAGTTTGGGTTTTATGTCTTGACACCCGTATTAAAGAGGATAATACATCGACTGTCATTTTATTAACAAATGCGTTTTTTTAGGGACCTCCTGGACCACCCGGACCTCCCGGACCTCCGGTAATTCTGATATTTTTGGGATTGTAGTTAGCGAATTGTTCTTGGAATGAATTCTTAGAGACCACATTTAACTGAAGTAACAAAGAAAAGGGAAAATTTGTCGGCAAGTGTTTACTTATATATTCTATAAAAGATGTTGCATTGGGGAGTTTACGCCGTAGTGTGCATTGACAACAGAGAAATGATCCAAGTGCACATTTGATATTAGGGAGCTTAAGCAACAACGACGATGCAGGCGACGGTGACGGTGACGGCGACGGCGACGAAAACGTCACTGGTAAAGTGAATTCGCACTACTTCAAACTTTATCGCGCTTATTCCACTTCGTTTAATTCGTCAAATGTTGGCAAATTTTGTCGGAGTTGAATTCCAAACGACTGCATCGCATTTCAAGAAAAGAAAAAGAAAGTCCATCCTATAGATAATACATTACTTGTACAAAATCAAATTAGTACAAGATTGATTAGACTACGTGTACATAATAAGAAAAAAAGAAAGTTAGAAAGGAGAAGGGCACATTATAGAAAACTAATTATGGCCCTTTAACAGGATTGACTTTATTCTAATATAGCTTTGTTATTCATTAAAACGCAAACTAGCCAGCTTTAAAAGACGCGGCCATCATCATCGCTGACCGCAGTGTTCACATTCTCAACAAAACGTGAAATTAGGCATTTTCACGTCGTAGTGGTGCAACGAAGGCTAAGAAATGTACAAAAAAGCGTGATGCACGTGCAAAGTTTTGTGCTAATATAAATCATTGCTTTTTTGCCGCTCTCGTTGCCGTCGCCGTCGTCGTTGCTTATACTCCCTATAGTTACTAATCAGTACTATATATTTTGGTACACCTTTAGATGTAGAAAATGTAAAAGAGGACAGGCCCCTAATTTTGTCATCTGTCTTTTTCTGAATCAAAGTTTGATCTTCTCACACTCGGGTATTATCTTTGTGATGAAGCTTTGAATGTGTCGACAAAACGCTTTCGCCTTACCACTTTGAGCTCGCGCGTAAATTAGCGAAAGTGAGGCAATTAGTTAGTAAACAACAAGAAAAAGCAGTAAAACACCGAGATCAGTATTTTGGAGTTGATTGGGTACCTTATTTTTTTGTTTTGCTTTTCTTCCTTCAGGGCACTCCTGGAAGCTACCTTGTTAGTTCCATGGTAGGCGTTTTATTAATTTCGTCTCTACGAATTTCTGTAAAAATTCTTTATCAGACAAGCTGACGTGACAGAAAAACATATACACACTTTGTCAGCGCTATCACCGTCATCATCATTCTCATCATTATCATCACATCATCATCATCAAATTATTGCCAGACGAAGTCTCGAGAGTTAAAGCTTGTGCACTCTTGTCAATCAGTGGTGTTGCTGCAACGTCTTGTGTGACTGCGCAGACCAATGGCAGTCCCTACTGCACACGGCGCAGATGAAGATGGAGGAGGCCGGGCAGCGTGGAGCTGTTTTTGAGGCGAGCGCGCTTCTCTTCATCTTTCTGGTGACGTTTTACGTCAGCTTTCGTAATTACCTCATTCTTTGACCGTCTCCAGCAGGCACGATGACACGAGGCATCTTCAAAGTTGTTTGGATGAATTTCGCATGCTTTGAGGTCACGTTTGCTCGCGTCCTTGAACCGCAGAACCAGGCGCCCGACTTTCCTGACTCCTGTCTTCAATTGCCCGTATAGAAATTCCTTGGGGATGCGTCCATCATCCATTCGATGAACATGCCCGAGCCATCTCAGTCGGCGCTGACTGAGAATGGAGTGCATGCTGGGGGTTCCAGTACGTGACAGCATTTCACTGTTGGTGATATGGTCCTGCCACTTGAAGCCGAGGATGCGCCTGAGAAATGGCAGATGGAAAGTGTTCAAGTGGTGTTTCTGTCCTATGTAGGTGACTAAATTTCACTGCCACGGAACAACTTGCTGAGAACTCATGCCAAAGTACACAGTGCATGTGATGATGATCGTTACCAACACATCATCATTATATCTGTATGAACAAAACAACAACGACAACAACAAAAACCACTTTGACATTAACAAATGGCACAGTTTTTAATCCTGTCTTTATTGTGGTCATCGTCATCATCATTATTATTAAAAATACCGTTCTTTGTTCTTCACTTGTAGCTGACAGGAAGCGCCGACAAGGGTCCCCCGCCGAACTATCGTTTGTATTCCAGTTCAAAGGTAATATTTCTAGCAAAGCAATGAAGCAAATAAATATATCAACAAAAAAGATTTTATGCGTGATTTTAATGGTCGCCGCACATTCACAGCGTCAATCCTTGTCGACCCCATCCAAGCCGAATTTAAAAATGAAAGTGGAAACCGGAATACCCAAAGAAAATTAAAACCCAGTCACATTGGTAGACAAACGGGTTCACAAGTACTCTCGCCAACTCGCCTCCTGTGCTAAATAGACATATTATATATTTATCAAGGCCTGGAAATAATCACAGTGCAGTTCTTATTTTCCGTTGTGGAAGCGTGTTTTACTCACAAATGCACCGCTTCGCACTTAACCATACCAATAAAGATCTTGTTGTGTGTGAAAGTTCTGCGTGGCGTTATATTGGGCAAGACAGACACTAAGACAGGAATGCAATAACCCAGTTTTTGCGGAAAAATCGATAAAAAATAAGTAGGTCGGTGAATAATCCACGACTATAATACCAGACAACTAAGTGCTTGATGAATAGGCGTCTTTGGGTGGGGAGGGGGGGCAGGGAGGTTAGCATTCAGAGACGTCTACTGCGGTAGCTTAAATATTAGAAGCTTTGTGAAGTAATTGGGTTCGTCGTTATCTAAGTTCAGCCACTGGGGGGTTATCTCAGTCGGTAGAGCATCATACAGCAGAGCGGGGAGATCATACGTCTGATCTCCAGGTTGTGGACCAGTACTCAGGGTGACGAAGCCTTTTTGCCCTGCAAACGCCCAGACCCTCCTATTGCTCGGATGACCTCGTCTTTTTCAATAGCAGACGAGAAAACAGTGACCTTAGTGGTCCATTGTGCATTAAATAAAGGAAAGTTGGTAACATCTTTTTTTCCCTTTTTACAGAGAGAGCTATCCAAAGAGCCATCTGGTTTAGAGGTAGGCGGGTCTTATACGAACCAAAAGCCAATATTGGTCTGATAGTCTTAACAAAACACTGCTTTCTTTCTTTCTGTAACTCTCTGCTGATTTATTACTTTCAGAATCCTGTCATGAAAAAGATCTTAGATGCTTACTCAAATCAGAAAAACAATTACAAACGACAGAAAGGCAGCAAATTTCATCCTGCCCGATCCTGCAGAGATATTCAGCTCGACAGCAAAGTCAGGGTGGAGAGTGGTGAGTGAAGCCTGTAAAACAGCTTTCAGGAGATGATGTAGAGTACTTTCAACAACTAATAAGTCCAGGTTATTCCAACTCGCTTACTTTGTCAAATGTAAGTGAACTCTCCCTTGTTGAATTCCTAAGAACGGTTTTCGAGTTCAGAAAGAGTACTATCGTTGTTTGTTTAGTCGCGTCCCCCATAAAGCGTAAAATTTAGGCATTTTCACGCCGAAGTCGTGCATTGACGACAAAGAAATGAACAAAAAAGCCTGATGCACGTGCACGTGTTGTTTTGCTTATTAACCCTTTAAGATCCAATAGTGATCAACGTCAATTTTCTCCTAACAAAATCCTTACAAAGTCAAGAGATAAGGTTATGAGAGTTGATAAATGTTCACCAAAGAGAAAATACCTTGATCTATTATCAAATTCTCTCAACATATTCTTTAAGGAAATATATAGAGACCGGTTAGGAGAATTTGTATGTTGGTGTTGGGGCTTAAAGGGTTAAACCTATTGCTTTTATGACGTCCCTGTTGACGTCCCATCATCGGATCGTAAAAGAGAGTTTTATGGCCTGTTTACATAGAGGTGGGGGACCCCAGATAGGTGAGGTAACATGTGGCGGGTCACCCCACCTATCATGTAAATGTATTCAAATTAAAAATCATTATGAGAGATCATATGGACAGGCGGGTAACCTCACCTAAGCGGATTACCTCACCTACGTTGGGTCCCCTACCTCCATGTAAACGGGCCCTTAGATGCTTCGACGGAGCCGGCAACGGGAACGTCTAAAAAAGATATAGATTTCGTGAGCAAAACAACACCATCTATGGTACAGTTCGTTGCCTCCCTTGCACGAGCATGAGGTAAAATCTCCTTGTGTGATGTATTACAGAGGACGTAAACATAAGATGACGAATTTTTCTTTCTCTTTCTGAACTTGGGTGTGGTTCCCAATAATTCAACTCCAGGAAAACTCATCTAGGTGATTCGACATCTTAAGCGAGTTTAAATAAACGCGACAAAGTCTCGGAAAAAATCGCGAATCGGTTTTAGCAGCGATGTTCTCGCTGCCGCCTCCGTCGTCGTTTCTAGGTGAGCAGATCTACTGAACAAGCCAAGCACAAACGACTTAAAAGACACCATCGATTACATAAGCACACTAACGTGCACACCTGGGTTAAGGTGAGAGGAAGCAGTTGGTATAGAAACTGCCGGTATCTAAGACCTATAAATAATACAAATCAGCAAGGAAACGACAGTTTTTACGCTTTAGCGGTTGAACTTAACGCCAGTAGTGATATTCGAACCAGTTGAAATACATCCGTGAAGAGAGATGATCAATGTTACGGTACGCTTGCAGAACCAAAACTATTTGAAATAACTGTATATCCCATTCCCTGCTAGTAGTATAGTAGAGACCGAATGAACCTTTGTTTTAAGTGGAATCTCAGTAGTGTGAAGTGGAATGCATTAACGCCGTTGACATCATTGGCCTTTGTCTCTATTCCATGAATAAAATGAGGAGGAATCTTTTTATCTTTCCTTTTTTGCATTTCTGATACAATAGAAACAGTATCACCAACGTAACATCAACAATATCATAAAACCGCCTGAGACGGATAATCTGTTTCTAGCTTGGAAATGGCCAGTTATGTCGGTAAAGTTCCTAACCGTGTGAATGATGTTGTTACACAGGCTACTACTGGATAGATCCCAATGAGGGCTGCATAGACGATGCAGAATATATTTACTGTGACTTTGAGAACAAGAGAGCTTGTGTCGACCCAAAGAAAGAAAATGTAAGTCAAGTATCTAAAACAATATTAACATTATTGGACCCGTTTGGACACACGAATAACTGCCAGCAATTAGGACAGTACTAGATTGGCCTGAGTATGTTTTAAAGAATTATACGGATAAGGCCTTCCTTGCACGCATAATTCTTCATTCTGTCAGCAGTTATGGAAGACACTCACGTCCTTCCACTTCCCTCGCGAACTCTCTTCTTACTCGAGAGAGTGAGATCTATAGAGAGGAGAATTTGTTACGTCACGTTGCCATGGAAGTAAAATTTTTCGATCTCAGCAAACTGTGGTCCTGCAAAAATGGCCGAAAAAAGCGAAAAACTTGACATGTATGTCTTTTCTGTGCAAATGATAGCTTTCAGGACCAAAACGGTAGCCCATGCAACGTTGCAATGGCCGTCTCTTCCAACAAAGTTTGCTGAGATCCATAACTTTTGCTACCATGGAACCGTGACGTCACACCTCCTCTCTCTTGCCAAGACGATCTGCGGGTGCTAGTGTGAACATACCCCAATAGGTATAGGAATACTTAAGCAATTGTGAGCGTCCGGAAGAAACATTTGACCTCGCCTGTACTTTTTCATGTTTTATTTCTAGTCAAACCTCGTTAATACGGACTCTGAAGGGACCACAGTAAGTGTCCGTATTAACGGGTGTCCGTATTAAGCGGTTCATTTATTAAAGTCAAAGACCCCTTTTACGTGAACAAAATACCAAATAAATGTAGTAAAGGAGGACATAAGCATCGTCAAGTCAACGTCTCTAACCTTCACAAAGCCGTCATTACGCGGTTTAAGTCCACGGAAACACTTAAAAATCGCTCATTTGCGGTAATACTTAATCAAAACCCTTCTCTGCATAACTCGTTTGATGCCAAAAATTGACGTGTACAAATCATCCTATCCAGTATGTGGTAGCGCTGGGAACATCGACGTACTGTCAACTGAAGGATTTTCTACCTTCAATGAGGAAAGGTCTATTACAACACACAGTTGATTATGAAGTGTCCCCATTAGAGAGGCTGGCATTCTGTGAGGATCGGGCAAGAAATAAGTGTCCGTTGTCCACATAAACGGGTGTCCGTATAAAGCGGGTTGAATTTAGAGAAAATGTAAGGGATTTCCCAAGTATTATGCGGGTGTCCGTAAAACGAGGTTCCACTGTATTTTATATATTTATATATTTATTTATTTATGTGTGTACAGATCACAATTGAAGACGCCCAGGCTCAGCAATGGATCAGCGAAATTCACCCAGATGTCCAACTGGTGAGTAATATGGATTCGATATCTTTTTTCGTGCGTGTGTGTGTGTGTGTTTTATTTAACCTTAATTTCTCGATGGCTGCTCAGGAACATTGGCACGTGCCTTTCTAAACTTCGCGAAACCAGTACCATATTACGATACCCTGGGTGCCAGAGACTTTTTAAGCGCGGTTTTGGTCTCTTCACCGCTCGTGGCTTCGGGCTTCGGCCGAAGATCTGTCGGCCTCCGAAATCGAAACCCAGGGTAGGGTAATACGTTCAATAAACAGCAACAAAGAGTAGATGGAAAGGAAGGGATCGAAACAACGCGAACAACAAGCCAGTGAGTTTCTTTATTTCGAGAGGTTCTATCTGTTTAGGCTGCGGTTGAACAACTTGTGCGTTGTTGGATATTGTTTGATCGTGTTTGCATTAACTTGCGTGACCTTACAAAAAGAATACCATCAAATGTTGGACTGATGTTTGTTTGACTAACCTTTTAACGGATCTTGTGGAGATGCCATATTCTACAATTTTTCCATGAGCCTTTGTAGGAAAAGAGTTGACTAGAACGAATCTCGAATCAAACAAGGCAGAATTGAATAAAAATATTGTTTATCAAAGTCTCAGTCTTCGAATTCGCTTTCACCCAATTTATTAATTTTACAAAACATCCTCTATATTTGAGCAGGATCCGGATTGTAGGCCAGTCCAGATTCACACACATTTCATACAGGGTCAAATTAGAGATAATAGCAGAAAACTGGGATCCATTGAATCAAGAGAAAGCTAGAAATGCATCATCCTAGGTTGAGAATTTAATAAAATATGATACACCATGATTTTGCCCCAAATACATAGAAGAATTTAAAATCGCTTCAGCCCTGTTTGGTCGTCAATAGAGATCTAACAAAAATTTTCCAAAGGAGAGTGTCCTTAGGAAGTGCTCCCGCTCCCTCCTCACTGCCAGTGTTTTTTTGATCTTGAAGTTTCAATACAAAATGGACCCTGCACAGATGAAGTTCTTGAGACTACTGAGCATGCGTATCACTCAAAATATCACGTATCACTGCTATAATTCTCGCGCATGGGAAGAGGAAGATGATCGCACTATCAAACTTCAGGGAGATAATGATATGGAACTGACATCGTCAGAGAAAACCAAGCCTAAAGTCGTCTCCGACAACTGTGATGTAAGTATACCGCCGCTTTTTTTTGGATCGCAACTTCAGTAGCACGCGTATGCGCGCGCAGTTGCGTGATTAATCAACTTCCTGCTGACAACACTAGTTTCTCAACGTAAGACTTCCCTCTGGTTCTCAATAATGTTTAACAGGTGCACGGCAGGTATAACAGGGTCATGTAACGTGTGTGTTCCAATGAACGCCGCCCATGAATAAGCGCCGCGGAAGCCCCATGTAACCAAAATCAAAAGACGTTTCCGTTAGTAACTGAAAAGAATAATACCTATTATATAAAGGAAACAATTCTTTGTAGCCTCCAACGTTCAAATAAACGATGTACCTAGATTTAGCACCGCATTCAAGGAGTGAAAAAAATCTAATAAGCGGGGCTTTTTCAGTTAGCTACAGTAGTGGTATTCTGAAAAGCACCCCAGACACATATATAAGTGACTTCGACTAACACTTGGCTCATCGATCTAGGCAGTCAAACGATCGAAACACCATTTCAGTCGAAACCAATTCAAGGAGATTTTGAAGCGAAGTTCTCATTTTAATTTTTGTTGTTGTTTGTTTCTTTATTTTTCCAATTGTTTGCTTTCTTATTGTAGAGTAAAGATGGCTCATGGCACCAGACTGTGCTTGAGATTGACACTAAACAAAAGAACGCTTTGCCAGTCATGGACGTGGCAGCTTATGATGTGGGAGACAAGTTAATTGAACAGAAATTTACTATTCAACTCGGACCAGTGTGCTTCGTCTACTAAGAAAGGGCAAAGAAACGGCTTCTTTTGTATATTCCGCCTGTTTCAGTGAAAGCTTCCCAAGTTTTATGATAACGTACTTAGAGCTGGTTTACACGGATCCAGACAAATGTTAAGCCGATGAACGTTTTATCTGTGTAACCCGTTTACATGGAATCGTGCAAATTCTGTGACAGATTGCAGTACTCAGTTACACTGGTCCAGATAATTTTTTCAACCGATAAATGTTTTACCTGTGCAACCTGTTTACATGGAATCTTGCAAATTCTGTGACAGATTGCAGTATTCAGTTACACCGGTCCAAATAAAATTTTCAACCGATGAATTTTTTGCCTGTGCAACTCGATCGTTTACACGGAACCGTGCAAATTCTGTAACAGTTGCACGCCGTACTGTTCACAGGAGTCCGACTCATATCAAAGTCGGATAACTTGGTCCATGCATTTACCACGTTAACGGTCCAAACGTTTGCACGGTTCAGGTGTTTACTCGTAGAACTGTACAGGTTAAAAAACTTTGATCTTCTTATGCACATTTTTCTGTTCAAAACTTGCGCGGTTCCGCAGTTCCCGTGTAAACAAAACAGGGATCCGTGTAAGGTTTTGTCCATGAAAAAATTTTTCCGGACCAATGTAAACGGAGTCTTTGAGCGATTTTCGCATGGCCTTGAAATTAGCTTAACTTACGGGAATGGAGGAACTAAGGCTTTGTCTACAAATTTCTTTTTACGTAATTGTAAATGCTTAGAAACTTGACCATTGCCCCGCGCGAATGGTATTTATCTATTTACGAACTCAACATCTAATCTCCGGCGATGGGTTAAGGACATAATTTTTAACATAGTTCCCGTGTAGACCCTTAAGTTTATATGCGGTAATGAATTTTAACGAACTCACATAGACATAAATTGAAGCACCTAACGAACGGGAGGAAACGTCTGTAATTCGTTAAGAAAACATGGAAAAACACGAAAATGGCAAGAGGTGTCGAACGGCAAAGTCAGAACGGATTAAGACACCCGTAAATTAGCTTTCATTTTTACTCCTTTATAGCTAGTCTTCTCTCAATCCCTTGCTGATATTATGAAATGCTCTTTTTATGTACAACTCAACTAACGCGAGAGTTCACAAACAATCTCCAAGTTCATTCGAAAATCGCTCTATGAACATGATAAAAAAAAAAACGTTTCATCTATTAGTCGAGCGGGCATGACGGTTTTTCTTAATTTGAACGTTCCTTTTAATTTATGCGGTTGTATTACTTGGAAAGCTCAGGTTCAACTTCATTCCCAGGGTCCTGTCCTACTCGGCCCCCGTAGAAGAGAAAAGGAGAGGAGGACCTTGGGAGCGAGTTTGTCGCAGCGCATTTAACATCGTTTGTCATAAACACTAAAAATAAGTAACTCAGGTTAAGAAAGTCAACTCTATTTTGCGAATAAAGTTGCAATAATTGTATAGCTTTTTAAGCTTTATTAATTGGCGTTTATGCCAGGTAGACTTGACGTTAAAATGTCGTATTAAAGTTATTAAGATCTTAACATTTTTTAGTCTCACATTGACCTCCCTGATTCAAACCCTTTACACGGTGTCGAAACGATACTTTGGTTTGCCGGGCATTAGCTACAATGTAGTCTCAGACAAAAGAAAGCACGTGGGGTACGATGGGAAGCGAAAAAGAAGAAAAGCTCAGGGTCCCCCTTGTCTACCTTGCGCTCATGATTTTTTAACCCTTTCAGTGCCAAGTGTGCTCAAGGGCAAAATTGAACAAAAATTCCCAAACTTCGTTTTGTAAAATTTTGAAAACAAATAGGGCCATTTGAAAGTACAGGCAGAGGGGTTTCATTTGAATGGTCACATCAAAGGATTTTGTCCACAGACTCAAAAGTTAAGACTACCTTAAGGGACTCCAACATTCACTCTGGCAATGAAAGGGTTAATTGTCCTTTCACCCGGCCGTAAGGTCTCTTTTGAAGTGACCTTACGGAGAGGGGGGGGGGGGGCTGCACCCGAGAGGGTTCCATTTCTCAGGCTAATAAAAACCTTTAGATTCGAGAGCGAGGTCGACGCTCATGTAACTATTTTTTTTTTAGAAGAAATCATGAGGTTAAAACGGTTATTGTTACCTTTAAGCTCTCTACCCATCGCAAAATGATTAAGCTTCTAATATCTTAGTTTTTCCATCACTACGACGTTTTAAAACCGTAGTAGAATGACGACGGCTATCGTTTTTTCCCGCTTTTTTTACCCGTGAGTCAAGATTAAGAATTTGTCCTCAAAAAACCTTTATGTAGAATCGCTTGGCATTTCTGAGCAAACACTTAATACTCTGGTGGGCTTTCGTTGATAATTTCTGTGGATATTCATCGCGAGTTGACTCAGTGTGTCAGAACTTGAGATTGAGATTTCACTCTATGCCCAAGCTCGACAGTCGCTTCTACTTTTATCTCAAGGCAATATTTACAATAGCTTGAGATTTCTGAACTAATATCTTGTGTTCTAAGTGGAATTAAAAGAGCTATTTTGAGAAAGTTGGTCAAAATTTCTGACTGCCGGGTATCTAGTTTTTTGAAAACAGTTCCTAGCTGCCGGGTCTCTAGACACGGCGATTATTAATAACTAAGGCACTGAATAATCTAGCCTGTGTAGAGACCCCCTTCCCCTTGATTTGGCAACCTGTAGTCGGTGGCCGTGTTGCCTGGAAACCCAAAATGCACGATGACGTCATGCTGCATGGCGTCTTTAAAATTTGTTTGTGGCTTGTTGCTAGGCAACTGGCGATACCAAACCGATAGAAAGATTTATGACGAAATTGCCCCCGTTTGCGATCCTCGCGCGACAACATTATAAACTCGCTCCGCGAGAATAACATAATCATGCGGTAATTTACGATGAGTGTGCAAAAAATTAATACGATCAAATTCGGGTGGCCTGTAAACCACGGGTAATGCAACACCAACGATCATATCAAACCTTGAACTTCCAAATTATAAAAAGTCTAAACTTCGGCGATACGTACATCGTCGGTGTTACCTGGTGATTTGTAGCTGCTGTAGTTAATTTATGTTAATACAAACCGTAAGCTGCGGTTTTAAAGTAAGTTTAATCGCTACCAATCGCCAGGGAAGATTGCTTTGGGTTTTCCCATATTGCGTTGATTAATCCCAAACTCGAATCATTCCAGAATCTATATATAATGTATTGAAGAGCTTTTCTCACCACGTTATAGATCGTTTTCACTGTCACGCAACAAAAAAAAACAATAACTTGGAAACCGTCCAGTGGAAGAAGCCAAGAAAATGAAATGTTAGAAAAGACTAAAATATAAACGATTTGACCAAGTTTCAGGTCTTTGTGGCCCACAGTTTCTGAGTTATTTGCCGAAACGTTTCATGCAGCTTTGTAGAGCTTTGTTTGGTGCACCAATATGGCCGCCGGAAATCAACAAAAACATCTGGAGTTCACTTTTTCTATAAAACCTCTTTCTTTTCACTCGAGAACTAGCATACGTGCGCATATACATATCTTTTAATACTTGAAATGGTTATACGGCTGAAAATCAAGAGGAGAGACTTTTTTTTCAACGAGACACTCCTATTTTGGTGTCACGCACTGTAAAAACTCGGAAGTTCAAATTGCTGTATTTTCGAAATGAAATATGCTACGGGAATGGAAACTTGTACAAAGATTTATTTTTTCTTTATCTTCAACCTAGCGTAAATAAGAATTCGTAAAACCTCGCTATTTTGACTTTACAATTTGATGACGTCACTGACGTTACTGTGAAAACCATCTATTCCTTATCTTCCTTCACATGAAGTGTCTGCGATAAAAGGGTGGTTTCTTGATGTTGCAGATCACCAAATGACGTCACCTTTAGCCTGTTTTGTGTTTCTCACTATCATAAGGTTCAAGTTTTTAGTAGGACTCAGTCTGCCTCGGACGATGCCAGACTGTCAGCACAGGCACGTATAACATGCATGAACTTTTCGGAAAATTTGCGTTATCCTTATTAGAACGAACGCGTATTGAGAACAGTGGTTAGTCAGATGTCTTCTCAGCTGTAACGTTTGTTGTCCTTCAGTGTACAGTAGCCTGCGTAGCAGGTGTCAAAAGGGGAAGGAGATTGGGAGGAGGGAAAAAAGGGGACGCTAGTTTTAGCCTGCGTGGCCGGCTGTTGAAAGCAAAGGGGAAAGACTGCTGCATGAGCCCCTCAACACCCTGTCTCCTTTTAGTTGAGCAAATTACAGATTTTCATTCCACAAACTACAGACTCCATTTCGTTTCATTCCATTTCCTTTCGCTTCATCTAGTTTCTCAAAGTACTTTAAGCCTGTGAATCATACCATGTCTTCGCTCTAAATCACATCTGTTCCAAATTGCATCTTTTCTCTTTTAAATCGCACCATTTTTGCTCTATATTGCTTCATTTCTGTTTCGGATACAAAATAAAATTTAAAACCTTTTCATTTCCGCTTTTCTACAAACCGGCTACTTGCTTAAATAAACATTGGTACTGACTTGATTTGAAAATGGCTAGTCCGATTTTTAAATCAGGCGTATGATTTCAAATCACTCAGTTCAATTACCATTGTAAATTGAGTGTAAAATTTTCGCGAAAATAATACTGAAGCCCTTTTTAAAAATTTCGAAGACTCAAGTTGTCCTAGCTTGACCGAACGGAGTCGACTGATTAGAATGCATTTTTCGAAATCTAAAAGTATCTACTTTATAGCAGAAGAAGCTATTTCAATGCATTTAGGAGGCAACCGTCTCTATGTGCCCCTGTTACTTAGTCATGATTACGTTGAAATTTAACGCTTAAATAGTTTTGAAGAGTTTTTACAAAAACCTAAATCTGAAAAGAATGTAGAAATTAGCCCTTTAAGTCCCAAGGACGGTTAAGATCAATTTTCTCCTAACAAAGCAATGCATAATCGAAAGAAAAGGTTATAAAAATTAACAACATGATCACCTGTTCGTAATCAATCCGCCTGTGATCTAAATAAGTGGCATGGATCGCTATATTGATGCAAACTGTTCAGCGCTATTCAACTTGAGACCGCATTGATTGCTAGATTGTCTATTTGACTGACTTTAGCTTGTTTGGTAATAACTTTATGTAATTACGTTAATCAGTTGAGTTTGACTACATTTTCTTGATTTTTCCAGTAGACGACCTCCTCCACAGGCAGGTGGGGTAGGAACGCGTGAACGTCAACGTGGGAAAATACCACCTCTCGTTAGCGACCAGTTTGGTCATGCATGTAAGGTACTGGGTGGCGGCTTACGAGAGAGTTCAGTGTATCTCGGAAGAATTCCCCCCCCCCACCAAAATTGCTTTCATTAGAGAAATGCCCATTTAGAAACGAAAATAATGGAAATTACAGCCCGATTTCTAAATACCTTTGACCAACGTTTCAGGTTAGAGTATTGATCTTGGATAGGCCAGGGGGTAGGCAAAGGGATTGTTAAACAAAGACATTGTAGGCGGCCCAAATTTGTACATTCATGAAGCGACTCGTTTCTCCTTATTTTACTGATCGCTAAAAAATAAGTTGAATAAACGTTTCCGTAAATAGACTCGCCTTTGATTCGCGTCAAAGCTGTGAAAATGTTGAATGCAAAAAGTAGGGAAGCAAGGGTGAGGTATAAGACAGTGTATCTAAGCCATATTTGAAAACTACTTTGCCTCAACTGTCCTTTTTCGCGAAACGCAACTGCATTACATTGTCATTGAATTGTGACTACAGGCGTCGGACAAAACACTCACCCCAAGTCCATGGACTACCCTCATGGACTGACCATGTGTACTACCTTAAAAAGGAGTAAGCTGCTGAAGAATAGTGATTAGGGTTAGGAAACTGTGTGAATCAAGTTTCAAGTCACTTTTCCCAGTATAATGACCCTAAATGGAACCTGATTCACTCAGCTTCCTAAACCCAATGACTTGACTTCATCGGCATAGTCCATTTTAGGGTACAGTCAACTCTTGCTAAGTCGGACACCTCTGGGGCCGGTACTAAGTGTCCGTCTTAGAAAGATGTCCGTCTTATAGAGAGTCAAATAGAGGTGATAAAGAAAGGCAGGGACCAGCTCTAGGTGTCCGTTATACAGAGGTGTCCGTTAAGAGAGAGTCGACTGTACTCTATATGGGACAGGACTGGGGATCAGTGTTTTTTCCACCAACGTGATTCCGAACAACGGGAAAAAGTCGTGTTACCCACGAACGTGAAAAACATCCTCTACACTTTCAAAATGGCAATAGGAAAACCCACTGAAACACAATAATGGCGTGAAAAGTTAATCGCGTGGTCATCTCTGACCGTTGTCCTCGTCTCTTACACAATTCCTCATCGATGAACCTTTTTAGTTTCTGCTCCAAGTTGTACGTCCTGTTTTCCCATTTCAGGCCATGTGATGTTCCCCAAGATAACGGTCTCTTTCAAATGTTGTCCTATCCACGTATGCATCTTAAAGAATTCATAATTGATGAAAAGACAAATTTATTATTCATAACGTAAGTTACGTAAACTAACACGAAAATAAATGTTGACTAACGTCAAACTGGTCAAAGGAAACTTTGTGTAACTCTAAGCCGTATTTGACAACAACTTTGATCTACACACCTACCAGTCTTTTGACGTGTTAAAAGGTTTATAATCTTTGACGAAAGAGCAGAAAGAGAGTCTTTACTTCCTGATATCATAAAGCAAAGTCACAGGAAGTAAAACCGGCCTTTACCACCTGAGATCACAAACCAGATGTGAGAAAAAGCAAAGCTCAAATTCTTTACTTCTCACTCATTAAGAAAGATGATCAAGTGACAACGCTTTGGTACATCAAACTGGAGAGTTATTAGAGAGCTTAAGAGTTGAGGACGGCATTTCATTTTAAATTCTCTTGCTTATTCTCTAAAAATAGACACCCCGGAAAGCATCACGCTTGTACTTCTTTTTTTACCCACAAAACTTAGTTCGCTTATATGGACTGCACAGATATAAAGCGGTATCAGGGTCAAAATTCAGCTCCTAATAGGAACTAGCCTGCGAACAGCAGACGCATTTCCGGTCGTCGCTATTTTTAGGAGGGAGAGAAGCGACGACCGGAAATGCGTCTGCTGTTTACGGGCTAAATAGGAACAGGTACAGCGAAAGGCCAGCTCAACGTATTTACGACAGGCACAGCGTATCGGGAAGAGGCACAGCGTATTAAGGACAGGCACAGCGAAAGGACAGCTCAACGTATTTCGGACAGGCACAGCGTATCGCGGACAGGCACAGCGTATCGAGGACAGGTACGGCGTATATAGGACAGGCCTAGCGTATTTAGGACAGGCACAGCGTATCGAGGACAGGTACGGCGTATCGAGGACAACCACACTGTATTGAGGAAAAGCACAGCGTATCGAGGACAGGCACAGCGTATCCGGGACCGGCGAGGGGGACTGAAAACCAAGAACCCCATAATCCCTTGCCAGCGGGACAAAACATGGCGGCCCTACAGGTGAGACTAGCAGCTAAATACAGGAATTGCACCGACCTGTGATTGGAAGATAAAAATAGTATTTCAGTGACGATGACGTGACAGTTCGTTACGTTAGCCGTTTCAAGAGTAATGGTTTTTACACGAAAAAGACAGTCCACAGGAAAATGCAATATAATATTAAATATTTCTCAAAGACAAACAGTGCAGTATTCTTTTGAAGTCGGCTGACTCGCTAAGAGTCAATGTCTTATCGAAGTTGAAGTTCAACTGTCGCAAATCGGATAACTTCACTGAGTGATTCTGAGATGAAACCTTTTGTCTGCATCCACATTGATCTTAGATTTTACCACTTACATATTGAAGAAAAGCCATAAACAGAGCTTCAATGTCCACGTACACCCGACTGAACCTCGGTGCGATTCCTGCAGATACCGCTGTTCATACTAAATGCAGGAATTGCACCGGACGCGTTCTCGTCCCCAGAGTGTTTTTTTTGAAACCACGACAAGACATCGATCCCTTTTCAATATAGTCTTGCGACAAAGGTCCGTATTAAAAAAATTAATACTGTTGTGGGAGGGCATGCAATGAATCATGCTAAAGTTTCTATTGGGAACACAAAATAGAGGTACCAGGGAATCACAGGGAACAACTGTGTAAGTGACATAACTTTTTATTTAACTTTGTAGCTAGTGTGCCGGTGGGGGGGATTCCTATACAATAGGCACAGGGCGGCTCATTAGAAAATTTAGTGTACCAAAGACTTTCTTTGACCCCTCGAGGAGTCCACTTCAACACTGTTAGCAGTAAAGTATGTGCAGGGCTTTTGTAAATGGATATTTCTATATTTACTGACTTTCCACCCCAATATAAACATACCAATTAAGTGAGATCAAATTCTGTGTATTTCTATGCCTTTACTGAGATGAGACAACTTGATAAGTTAGAAGACAAGCAATCCCTGTAACTTTTATACAGGAGTTTCTCCCTCAAAAAGGCTAGTGTAATTTATTTGGATTGTGTGGTTCCAGAAAATAAACATACCCACCAACCCCAAGGAAAATTCTGAAGGGAGGGGGTTTGAAAGGCCAAGATTTTTAAAGAAAAGTATGAAATTAACCTGAATTTCCCGAATGGTGGGGGCATCCCAAGGAAAATACCATCCTTGGAGGGAGTATGGATATTTCCTGGAACAACGCATTTATTGTTTGTTATTAATAATTTAAAGGAAAAATAACACAGTTTGTTTATATAAGTGTATATGTTGTGGTTCAATTTGATCCTTGGTTTAAATTTTAGTTTCCTTTATTGTAAACTCATTATCATAGATTACCATACACAAAAAAACAAAGGAAAATATAAACCAAGGACAAAATTGAACCACAACATACATATATTAAGCTTATGTATAAACTAGCCAACGTATATATCTGTTACCTAGATAACATTTCGGCAATGATTTATATAATGCTAAGAAAGTCAGACATTCATGCTCACAGCTTGGGGCTATATTTCACAGCCGGCAAAAAGTTGATTATCCCTGGTAGTAGTTTTGCAAAACAAAAAGCAAATTTAAAACAAATAGAAGATTTCAAATGTACAGAAACCAAATTAAACAGTTTTTGAGTGCATGAAACAGTACATATGTGTGTAAATACTGTCAAGAAGGTCACTTACAACCCATCGTGTGACACAGAGAGAAGCCACTTCATTTGGTGTCATGTCATAGTTTGGAATAATATAATCAAAAGGATTCAAGTATAGAATTTCCTGAAATTTCTTTATGGAACTTTCTGGAGGATACATTTGGACAGTCAGTGGTTTAATGTATGGTTCTGAAAACCAGTTTAATTCTGCTTGGACGGCCCTTTGTAGATCCCTTGCATAATGTACTTTTAACATATCTTTAACATCAGATATGCTAAAACATTGGGAGCCATGCTGCAGATAATAGTAACCCTTCTCTTCTTTCTGCCAGAAGCTTAGCTGCTTATCCCATGTTGTTAACAGACTAAACGGTGGTATTGTTTTCAATGAAAAGGGGTTTGTTGTAATTCTTGGAGAATCTGACACAACAACATCACCATCAGCATTTTGAGGGGATTTTGTGGGGGGTAAATTGAATTCAAAGGCCTCTCTCCTGGTATGGCTGGTAAGGGCAGAAGAGGTTACTTGCTTACTGCACTTTTGCCAGTCACCAGCCTGCATGGAATAGAGTTCAGATTCATTCAGATGAGTGTTTAGTCATTGACTGCCCTCAACTCCCTCCACCCCCCCAAAAAAAAAATGAATAAAAAATATAAATCAATGTAGAAATGTTATCCACAGGTACACAAAGTGTAAATACAAGAGCTAATTTCAGCAAACTCTTACAGGTGGACCGCCTTTTCCCTAAATTTTGCGAGTGAACATGACATGTAACTCTATTAGCTTAAAACAAGCACTGACTCGTCTTTAGTTTCTCCACAGACTTTTTTCTGCGAAAACTCAACCCCACCCACCCATCCCCTATGGCAGGTCAAATGGTCCTCGCAGCTACGTGCTGAAACGCAATGATTATTCGGTTTGCTGAAAAGGGGATTTTTGTTTCTTCCAAAGGACATGATGGGATTTAACCAGGCTGTTTAGGTGACCATTATTTTTACATTGCTGAGGTATTTCAGATTCGATATACTCACCAAGGAGAGCATGTTACACTTGTAAAGTCAAGCAGTAAAAGAAAAAAAGGCAAAGAACAATCAGCCCGAGGTTTAGATGACCTTTAGTCAGGATCCTATAACCCCTGCTTCAGTATAATTTAACTTCAAATACAAGTGATGTGTTATTTCCAGTGGCCTAAGTCTTGTCCTATCAAGCGAAAATCAAAACGCGAGAAAATCAATTAAAGTTTCCCGCGGCTATTTAATTTATGCCAAGTTGCGCATTCGACCAATGAGCGTCCGGTGTATTCTCGTTCCCAGAGCCCGTCTTTCTTGGTCACGTGCTCTTTTGTTACAACTTAGAGTGACTCTGGGGACGAGAACGCGTCCGGTGCAATTCCTGCATTTAGTATGAACAGCGGTATCTGCAGGAATCGCACCGAGGTTCAGTCGGGTGTACGTGGACATTGAAGCTCTGTTTATGGCTTTTCTTCAATATGTAAGTGGTAAAATCTAAGATAAATGTGGATGCAGACAAAAGGTTTCATTTCAGAATCACTCAGTGAAGTTATCCGATTTGCGACAGTTGAACTTCAACTTCGATAAGACATTGACTCTTAGCGAGTCAGCCGACTTCAAAAGAATACTGCACTGTTTGTCTTTGAGAAATATTTAATATTATATTGCATTTTCCTGTGGACTGTCTTTTTCGTGTAAAAACCATTACTCTTGAAACGGCTAACGTAACGAACTGTCACGTCATCGTCACTGAAATACTATTTTTATCTTCCAATCACAGGTCGGTGCAATTCCTGTATTTAGCTGCTAGTCAGGTGAGTAGGGAAAAAGGGAAGATATTTGTTTACACACATTCTGACTGTTATTTAAATTTAAAACAAAAGAAAGATTTCATTTGTTTTGACAGCCGATGTTTCTCTTGTTGGCACATTATGTCAGGTTTCCTGGTAGTTTCGATACCAAGCCGTTTCGATACAAATTGAAGTCGATTTGATATGACATCCCTAGGGCTTCAACCAAAACCCTAAAAAAAATCCCTGGACCAAAATTTAACCTCAAAAAAATTCCCGGGGGGGTCACTCGAGGGAAGTTTGGGAAGAGGTGCGCCGCCGAGGCCTTCAAACACCGATCCTGTTTAAGACAAAAATTGCTCATTTCGCCACCCTGTTTAAGACAGGAGACACTACTTTCTGACCCTGATGTATTTGTTTTGCATACAGAATTAAGTAGTTTTTCACACTAAAATCGTGGAAATAGATATTGAGGAAAAAATTATTGGTACTGCAAATGTAGACCGCTCATCACAAGTCTTCACACTCTTTGAAAGGCTTTCAGTCCAAAAAGACACCCAGTTCAAGACGCTCAATAGTGAAATACCATGTTTAAGACTCAAAACCTCCAAAACCGTACCCTGTTCAGCGGCACATACCCGTATAGGTCAAATAAGGGAGTGCCTCCCCCGGGAAAAAATCCCATGCCGAATTTCCGGCCTATAAAAATTTCCAGAATTCATTCAGTGATATAACACACAAAAAAGAAACATTAGAAATGGAATGTTTGTGTTTGTTTATTCATCAGCACACCATCTAGAGTGAGAAGCTTTTTCGCATCTGGTGGTCATTGTAATAAAGACACTCGAGACACCCAAGAACATTAAGGCAAAAGGGAGTTCAAGTGACTATATTAAAAGCCGGGTGATAAACGGAGATAACAAAAAATGAATTGAAGCGTTGGTTTACACCCCGGGACACTTTGCAGACCATTGACATGATTGGTTGTATAGTAACCGGTTTTATGAAAAAGATGCCATGTTTTGTCCCGCTGGCAAGGGATTATGGGGTTCTTGGTTCTCAGTCCTCCACGATATGCTGTGCCTGTCCTCGATACGCTGTGCTTGTCCTCAATGCGATGTGGTTGTCCTCGATATGCCGTGCCTGTCCGCGATACGCTGTGCCTTTCCTAAATACGCCGTGCCTGTCCTAAATACGCTGTGCCTGTCCTAAATACGTTGAGCTTGCCTTTCGCTGTGCCTGTCCCTATTAGGAACTGAATTTTGACCCTGATACCGCTTTATACAAAGACCTGATTTCATTCTCACTGATTAGCAAAGGTGATGGAGTGGCACTGCCCTGGTCGATAAAACTGGACAGTTAAAAATCTATGTTAATGACTAGGTCCTAGTTATTTAAATCCATTGGATAAATCTCTTTCCAGGGAATAACACAATAAACTAATTATTAGTTATTTCATTTCATACTTTTCCCTTTTGTAAATGATTTATCTGATGGGTAGCTTTATATAACCACTGGAGACTGTACGATAAATACTACAAGTACATGTATAACAGGAATGTCTAAGAATTGGTGTCCACCGTCAAAAATCGCAACATCTACTTCTTATTAAAGTCGCCTGACAGAAACAAACTTAACCAAACTATTTAACACGGCCCACTAAACAAACGTAACAAAAGGAGACCACGCTAGCATTCAAAACAGAAAACTTTAAAAAAAACAAACAAAACTTAACTTAAAGGTCAAAAGCGTTCTTTACGAACCATGTTCAGGTATATATCTCATATGATGTTCATAATGTTGAAGAAGAAGAGTTTCACTTCTCATCTCCTCTTGACAAATCCAACACCTGCAGCGTTTCTCAATGATGCCTGATCGCTGGTCTTCTATCCAATTGTCACCAGTCTCTCTCTGTGTAGGTTTACATTCATTAGGCTTTTCGCCAGTGTGAACTCTTTCATGTGTCCTTAGCTTTCCTGACTGCCTAAAACACTTTCCACATTGTTTACATTCAAAAGGCTTTTCCCCAGTGTGAACTCTTTCATGACTCCTTAGATTTCCTGATCGCCGAAAACACTTTCCACATTGTTTACATTCAAAAGGCTTTTGCCCAGTGTGAACTCTTTCATGACTCCTTAATCCTCCTGAGTGGCTAAAACACTTGCCACACTGTTTACATTCAAAAGGCTTTTCCCCAGTGTGAACTCTTTCATGGTTCCTCAGGTTTCCTGCTACAGTAAAACACTTGCCACACTGTTTACATTCAAAAGGCTTTTCCCCAGTGTGAACCCTTTCATGGCTCCTTAGTTCTCCTGATTGCCTAAAACACTTTCCACATTGTTTACATTCAAAAGGCTTCTCCCCAGTGTGAACTCTTTCATGTCTCCTTAGGCTTCCTGCTTCACTAAAAGACTTGCTACACTGTGTACATTCATAAGGTTTTTCTCCAGTGTGAACCCTTTCATGACTCCTTAGGTTTCCTGCATCACTAAAACACTTGCCACACTGTTTACATTCAAAAGGCTTCTCCCCAGTGTGAACCCTTTCATGACTCCTTAGGTTTCCTGCATCACTAAAACACTTGCCACACTGTTTACATTCATAAGGCTTTTCCCCAGTGTGAACTCTATCATGTCTCCTTAGGTTTCCTGCTTCACTAAAAGACTTGCTACACTGTTTACATTCATAAGGTTTTTCTCCAGTGTGAACCCTTTCATGACTCCTTAGTTCTCCTGATTGCCTAAAACACTTTCCACATTGCTTACATTCAAAAGGCTTCTCCCCAGTGTGAACTCTTTCATGACTCCTTAGGGTTCCTGCGTCACTAAAACACTTGCCACACCGTTTACGTTCATAAGGCTTTTCCCCAGTGTGAACCCTTTCATGACTCCTTAGGTTTCCTGCCTCACTAAAACACTTGCCACACTGTTTACATTCATAAGGCTTTTCCCCAGTGTGAACTCTTTCATGTCTCCTCAGCCTTCCTGCTACACTAAAAAACTTGCCACAGTGTTTACACTCATAAGGCTTTTTGCCAGTGTGAACTCTTTCATGACTCCTTAATCCTCCTGATTGGCTAAAACACTTGCCACACTGTTTGCATTCAAAAGGCTTTTCCCCAGTGTGAACTCTTTCATGGCTCCTTAGTAATCCTGACTGCCTAAAACAACTTCCATGTTGTTTACATTCAAAAGGCTTTTCCCCAGTGTGAACTCTTTCATGTCTATATTGGTTTACTGCATCCCTAAAACACTTGCCACACTGTTTACATTCATAGGGCTTTTCCCCAGTGTGGATTCTTTCATGAATTCTTAGACTTTCAGTTGGGCTAAAACAGTTGCCACACTGTTTACATTCATCAGGCTTTTTCCCAGTGTGAACTCTTTCATGTCTCCTTAGGTTTCTTTCTTTACTAAAACACTTGCAACACTCTTTACATCTTAAAGACATGCCTTCCTTTGCACCCTTGTGACATAAAATAGAGATATTATCATTCAACGTTCCTAAAACATTAAATTTATAACTAATTAAAACACATTTGCTTGCACAATGTAATACATCAGTCAACTGCAGCTGCATTCACACCAGCTTGCCATCCCAGGGTTACCCCCACAAATTGGCATTTTTCTTTAAAGAGCCAAATAGCCCACAATGGGGAAAAAAGAGAAGGACAAACTCCCAGGATCATTCCCAACTAAGACACACAGCACTACAACAGTAGTTAAGTGGTGCCACTTTTTTAACGTGATTTCTTGTTTCTGTATATCCGCCTTCCGTCTCTTAATTTTAAACCCTCTGTAATAGACAGGGTGCAAAGAAAGTCAGTTTGACTGCTTACCATCGGAGCAGGCTGTAGCTACCACATACTAGCAGAGGGACATTTAAGAGCAAGATTAACATTTAATTATTATTTGCTTACCAGTAATTCTTTTTTTGATTCATTGTAATAACAGTCATAATGTTTTATTACAATTATTGCGACAATTTTACTTCATCAGATCTGCTTGAAAAACATCTTTTGATCCACATGAGTTTATTAGGAATTCAAACAACAATTTGTCTCACAATACTTCAGAAATTTGATTTCCCCCTCAAAAATGAACTGGCATGTTGTGAAGTTAAGAACAGAATTCACTTGCCCCCCTTCAAAATTCATACCACATCTCAGCGGATTCAAATGACAAAGGAGTGCAACATTCAAAAGAAGAAGGAAGACAAAGTGCTTTGAATGCTCTTTCTCTCATTGGTTCCTGCTATTTAAATGAGGTAAAAGGAATTTTCCTTAAAGAATGTGGTTAATCTCACTAAAAATAGGGAAGATGGGAAGAAATGTTGAAATAGTTTTGTACGCTTCTTCTCATGAGTCAATAAATCGTAGACCTTTTTTACTTTTTCTAAGATGATTGTATAATAAAATAAATTCCAATATGAGTAAATACAGGCCCGTAGCCAGTTTTTGTTTACAGGGAGGTGCAATCCAACCAGAAGATGGACCAGATGAGGTCTCTAGGGGGGGGGATTTGGTTGTCCGCCACTGCATTTCAAGCGTTTTGAAGGTTGTAAGATGCTAAAAGTGAAAATTATGTGTAAATTTCATAAAATGTTTGAACTTCATAAATGATACTTTTGGCTAGAGACTACTAGAGACTACTGTAAGTATGTATTTTAAAATTTTAGAATGACAATGGCAATGTCACTATTTAAAGAGAGAAAAAAGAAAGTTGTAAATCTGATTATTTACAAGGTTTGCTGTTGCGTGCCAAGTTGGATGCCTCTTAGCAAACAGACCTTTGACTTTTTCCACATCAATATCCGTTGGATGGTTCAGGTAAGTCAATGTCACTTAATTAGAGCATGCTGATGGACCACTGCGATCAGGGCTTAAGCTTCCCAATGACCAGTAATCTCTAACTATAAATTTACACCGTGCTAATAAAAGTCTTATTTTTGAGTTAGTTTCCAAACAGAGGTATCTATGGATTGACAAAATCTGGTAGCGACCTCTCTTCTTGTTCACTTTGGCCCATTTTTTCACCAACTATTACATTGTAGGCACAGTATTGTTAATTCACCTTGCTTTTAATTGTTCGTCAACAAGAGAGAGGACCTCCAAAGCCTGTGGGGGCGGGGGGAATCTCAGCCGTCACACCCATCTCCCTGCAGGTCTGAAAAGCAACAAGTACTGATAGGCAGCAGGTAGGGATTTTGTTCAGTTCTATTTTTTAATGCAGTGACTCCCCCCCCCCCTGCTGGAGTCTGTTGCAGTATCTGATGAATTAATCAGCCCTTCAAGTTAAGCTAGAAATATTGAGAGCTTCTCTTTGACTTTAACATCAGTATGGAGCAACACGTTACAGCGGCAGCTCAATCTGTTTCTCGTCACTTAAGAAACTTAAGTTGCATAAGGGATACAATAGTTTGCAGAAATTAGACTTTTGCAACTTTTTCCTTTTATATAAAATACCTAAGAATGTGCTCAAAAGACTTCAATCAGATCAGAATGCAGCAGCAATGGTTGTCACTTTAACAGGCAAAAGAGAGCATATCACCCCTATTTAAGAAGGGCTCCACTGGCTACCAGTAGAATAACGTATTTTTTTTTGAAAGATATTATTGTAAAATAACTTATAAGGTGCTGAATAATCTTGCTCCAACCTATCTCTCTGAATTAGTTAAGCGGTACATGTACTGAGTAGGAACCTTAGATCTCCTAATAGCAACCGTCTCATTACTATGACATTGTCCTACAAGTTAAGAACAGACTACATGTACAGGTACAGAACCTTCTCATCCACAGCTTCTGCTCTAGCACAGGAAAAAATAACGAATTCTCATTTTTGGAAATTTTAGGGTATTTAAAGAATACCCATAAAAATCCCAAATTTGGCAAAGTGAGACAAGTCCCAACCAGGGAATTCCCAACCAAGCTCCCTGATTGGGACTTGTCTCACTCTTCCAAATTTGGGATTTTTGTGGGTATTCTTTAAATAGCCTAAAATATCCAAAAATGTGAATCCGTGATTTTTTCCAGTCTCTATGAAACAAGTTACCTTAGAATATGAGGTGCTGTGGTAGTCTTAAATTGATAATTTAAAGGTTTAGCTTAAACGTATATTTTCAAGAAGGCTTTTAATTTATGTTCATCCAAGCAACATATTTACTACATTTTTCTTTGAAATTTATTTGACTTTA